CCTCTGGACCATGCATGCAAGTGCCTCCCAAGCATCTTCTCTTGGATGCCCTACAAGAACCTCAAGTGCACTTGCCCAAAACTGACAACATCCCCCTTTGCCAACACCTCCTGCTCTAACACTAATCTTCTGAGTTCCCCATCTCAGAGAATGATCTTCCTTGCTTCCCAGACCAAATATTTGACTACCATTCTTGACACTCAATTTCCCCTTCCTTTCCTTTCCCCCTTCCTTCTACATCCAGTCATCAGTAAGTTACATATGCATATTATAAACCCAATAGTAACCACTGAAAAAGTAAGAGTTAGAATAAATAAGCCAATAGAGGAGATAAATGGAATATGAAACAAAACATTCAATCCAAAAGAGGGAGGAAAAAGTACAAAGAAAAGATGAGATAAATAGAAGACAAATGCGAGATGGCAGATTTAAGCCAACCACATCAACACTTTCGTTAAATGTAATTGGTCTAATGCTCCAATTAAAAGGCAAAGATTTTCAAACTGGATTAAAGAAGCAAAAAGTGATAATATACTATCTAAATGACACACACTTTAAACATAAAGGTAAGTTAAAAGTAAACAAAATGAAAGAATGGAAAAAGATAGAAAATGCAAATGCTAATTTCAAGAAAGTCGGAATGGGTAAATTAACATCAAAGTTGACTTCAATACAAAGAATATTACCAGAGATAAAAAGGAACATTTCTTTGATAAAAGTGATCAACTTGTCAGGAATGTCTAATAGTTCTAAATGTGTATAACCTAATAACAGAGATTCAAAATAGGTGAAGTAAATTAATAGAATTAGCAGATAAATAGAGAAATCCACAACAACGATGGGCTATTTTGACACATCTCTCAGTAACTGAGAAAAACTGATAAGAATATAGCTGACTTGAACAACATCAATCAGCTTATCCAAGCTGATACTTAGAGAACAGTATTCCCAACAACAGCAGAATATGTATTCAAGTACAGATGCGAACATTCTCCAAAATAGGCCATATGCTAGGCCACAAAACAAGTCTCAATACAATTAAAAGGAATTAAATTATATAGAGTATATTCTCTAAATACAACACAACTAAATTAGAAATAAATAACAAAAAGATATATAAAGTATCTAAAGGGTGCCTGGGTGGCTCAGTTGGTTAAGTGACTGCCTTCGGCTCAGGTCATGATCCTGGAGTCCCGGGATCAAGTCCCGCATCAGGCTCCCTGCTCAGCGGGGAGTCTGCTTCTCCCTCTGACCCTCTTCCCTCTTGTGCTCTCTATCTCTCATTCTCTCTCAAATAAATAAATAAAATCTTTAAAAAAAAATAAATAAAGTATCTAAAGAGTGCCCAAATATTTGGAACTTAAACACATAATTATAATTAACTCAAGGGTCAAGTAAGTAATCAAAGGGAAACTGGGAAGTATTTTGAACTAAATGATAATGAAAACACAACTTATCAATATTTGCGAGATAAAGCTAATGCAATGTTTCGAGGAAAATCTGTAGCTTTGAGTGCTTATTTTAGGAAAGAGAAAAGGCCTAAAATCATTGATCTAAGAGTCCACTTTGGAAACCTAGGAGAAAAACAACAACAGATTAAACCCAAGTAAGTAGAAGAAAGAAAATAAGAAAAAGTGGAAATCTAATATAATACAAAAATAACATAGATAAAACCAATAAAATGAAAGTTTGTTTTTTTTTTGTTTGTTTTTTTTTTTTGAGAAGATCAGTTACACTGATAAACCTCTGGCTAGACTGATCAAGGTAAAAAAAAACTACTAATATCAGGAATGAAAGAGAAGGCATCAAGATCCTACAGACATTAGAAGAATAATAAAAGAACATTATTAATAACTTCATGCAAATATATTTGACAACTCAGTTGAAATGCACAAATTTCTTACAAGTCAGAACTTGCCAAAATTCGTACAAGAAATAAAATCTGAATAGTCTATATCTATTAAAGTTGCTGAATTCATAATTTAAAACCTTTCCACAAAGAAAACTCATGACCCAGATGAATTCTATCAAACATTTAAGAATAAAATAATATCAATCTTAAATACTTTCAGAAAATAAAGAAGGAGAACACTTATCAACTCATTTTCAAAGGCAAGCTTTACCCTCATTCCAAAACTGGACAAAGATATTACAAGAAAAGAAAAATAAAGATCAAATCATGCATGAACACAGATACAAAAATCTTTAATAAAATATTAACCAACTGAATCCAGCAACATATAAAACAAATAATACATCACAAACAAGTATCCCAGGAATGTAAGGTTTATTTTAACATTACAATGTCAGCCAATATAACTGACTACATTAATAAAATAAAGGGGAGTATTTATATAATCCTCTCAATAAATGCAAAAAAATCATTTGATAAAATTCAACATCTGTTTATGATAGAAACTCTCAGCAAATTAGGAATAGAAGAAAATTGCTTCAGTCTGACAAAGGGCACCTACAAAAAAAAAATCACACCTAATGGTAAAAGACTGAATGCTTTCCCACCGTGATCAGGAACAAGGAAAGTGACTCTCACCACTTTTATTCAAAATGGTATTGGAGGTCCTTGCCAGCAGAAATAAGGCAAGAAAAAATGCATTCAGGTAAGAAAAAAGCAGAACTTTCTGTTTTCACATATGACATAATTGTGTATGTAGAAAATCCTAAGGAATTTACAAAAAAAAAAAAACAAAACCCAAAACTATGAACTAATAAGTGAATTAGCAAGGTTATAGGACACAAAATTAATATACAAAAAATGTATTCCTATATACTAGCAATAAACTGGAAAAATGAAACCCAAAATACAGTATCATTTGCAAGTGTCAAAAAACAAAGTAGTTAAGAGAAAGTGTAAAATATCTATGCTCAAAGCTACAAAATATTGCTGAGAGAAATTAAAGATGACCTCAAAAAATGGACAGGTATACCATGTTCATGGATTGGAAGGGATCAATTTTCCTCATGTTGATTTATGTGATCGATTTAATTAATAATGCATCAAACATCATGTTCCATTGGTTTTGCCTCCTAATTCTACCTCAACACTGACCTCTTCTCTCTGCCTCTACCACCTTCCGTCTGGCCAGGACACCATCATCTCTCCGTTAATGTCTGCAACAGCCTTCTGCTTGGTGCCCTCCCCATCCAGAGATTTCGACCAGAGAGAGTGATGTCAAATATACACACATCAGACCCTGCTTAAAACTGTGCAGTGGCTCCTACCACCCAAGACATAAGACCCAAGCTCCTTAAATAGACCTCAAGGCCCTTACCTACCTTTCCAGCCTCAGCTCCTGCCACATTTTCTGAGCCTACTCCCCATACCGTAGGCACAGAGAGCTTCTTTCCATTCCCTGCGGGTACCCAGCTCCTCTGTCAGCGCCTGCCCTGCACTGCTGGCCCCAGGCTGGTCAAGGACCACCCCCATGTGTCATCTATCCCTCACCATCAGGAGTATCCACATGACCTGTGTGCAGATAGTCATCCCTAATGGATTGTGCATGCCTCAATCCAGCACCCAGCAGGGGTGCTGGGCCTCTTGGCCACATCCATAGCACCCCACACATGCTCAGAGGGGCTTCAGAATGAAGGAACAGGGGGAGCAGGGTAGAGAGGGATGTTGATGCTGATGGGTCTTCTCATTGGGGTTTGGTGGATGAGGGATGAGAGCACATCAATCGGATCTCACACACACACACACACACACACACACACACGTCCTGGTGCCCCAACATCACACTTGTCCAGGCCCCACGAACACATAGGGGACCAGGACTGACCCTTGACAGAGCAGCCAGCCCAGCCCAAGGCAGGGCGGTCTCCTTGTCTATCAGCCTCTCCTCCTGGATGATTTGTGAAGAGACAGGCAGCTGAGGATGGGCAAAGCCTGAGCCCTGGTCCTGTCTGTGGGGGGAGGGCAGGCATGGGATGAGGGGTACTTTAGGCAACCGTGCACAAGCCTGGTGACTAAACCTCCATGCCCTGTGTTCCCCAGGGCCCGAGTGAGTAGGCTCCCAGGCCAGACGCGTGACCACTGTCTGTGCTGACACAGTTGGCACTTGCTGGGAATCAGAGGACCAGCCAGAGCCCTGCAGCTCAGGTCACCCAGGCAGGGACTGGGCCTGAGCCGCAGAGCTGAGTACTCCTGGGGGCTGGAAGGCCCAACCTGCCCCCTAAAGCTCATCCTCAAAACCAGCAAATAGCATCTCTTTGATGGAGTGGCCATGTCCAAGGCTTTGTGTTGGGGTCCCCAAGACACCAAAGTGTCCCCAGGAAAAAAATGACTCTTTTGTTCATTTCAAAAGGCAGCAAATCTAGCTTCCATCTGTTAAATATTAGAGGAGGAAAAAAATCTAGTAAGACCAAATGACGCAGACATGGGACACTAAGCAAGAAAGAAATGACCATAATGGAGACACAGAGAGACAGAGAGGAAGGGGCCTGGAGCATCTGAGAACCTTGCCCCAGCCTGGCTGGCCTGGGCCCGGCTCACCCAGCTCCACCCTGCCTCTCACCCGGAAAGCACTGCCCGGCCAGGCCCCCTCCCTGACTATTGCGCCCAGGGCACCAGGATGTTGATACTCACCCCAGAACGCCTGACGCCCCCAAGGCTGACCCAGGCCTGGGGGAGGGGGCAGGCAAGGCCAATGAGAGCAGACCCAGGCCCATGACTGGGCGGGACATGGCTCCCATGGGGAGGGCACAGCTTGCCTGCCTGAAGCAGGAAGTGATAAGGAGAAGGAAACCCGAACAGAGGATGTGGGGCAACGGTCTGCTGGGAAGGCTGAAAAGGTGTTCTCAGCTGCACACACCCAGACCCGCCCTTCTGGGTCAGCTGGGGCCACCAGACACAGGGGGTAGGCCCTTCACGCTACAGTCCCCCACTGGCAGGTGCACAGAATCGGGACTCCACTGGGGCCTGGCTGCTGGGGCTCCCTCGGTGTGGCCAGCCGCGCCTGCTGGGGTCCCTGGAGCTGCAGGCTGGGGCCGGCGGGGGGGCTCCAGTCCATACCAGTCAACACGGCAGAGGGGTGAGGCAGCTGTGGGCCGGCCCTGAGCCTGTGGGGCTCTGTGGTCTGTAGCCCCAGCTCAGCTGGTGCATCCTGCATGGGGCTGGGGGTGGGGGATAATGCCAGACATGAGAAGAGAGGCGGAACCTGGAGGTCTCTGATGCCTGGGGTGGGGGGGTTGTGTCTCACTGAGGGGTGGTGGGGGCACAGGTCCACATTCCATCATTCCCTTCCTCAGCAGGGCAAGCTGAGCTGGTACCCACTCTGCAGGCCGAGCCAGGCCAAGGACTCCAGGGCAAAGCAGAGAGCCAGAGCCCAGACACAGGACACACCAAGCGTGGCCAGAGCCCGGACACGTTTTCCACAAGGACACCGAAGCCCAGAGAACGCAAGCTACTTCTGGAGATCACTGGGCCAGGAGGCGGCCTCGCCAAAGGGAACCAGGAGGCCGCTGAGGATGCCCTGGGGGCAAGGTCAGGTGAAGGAGCCATGTGAAGGAAGGACAAGGCTGGCCTGGACCAGGAGCTGCTGGCCAGGACGGCGCACGTGCTGGGGCACACTCTCCACCTCTTCCGGCACAGGGGCCACCGCCTGCGCCCCACGGCCGTGGCCGGGCCCAGAAGCCCAGCTTAGCCGGTGGCTGGCTGCCTCCTCCAGGATGCCTTCCCATCTAAGAGGCTGCAGATCCTGGGGGCCCTCCTCTGTCCTCACTCGACCCCAGAGAACCGGTCACAGGGTCGCAGCGAGGGCCACTAACGCAGCGGTACCAGCTTCTGATCCCGCCCCTCTGCCACGGAAAGGCCAGCCCCTGCCTTCTAGAGGTGTCCTGCCCATATGCGAAGGGGGGTGGGGCAGTGAGCAGCAGTTCTCTCGGGAGCGGCCCCCTGCCCTCCTTTGGAAGGGTGGCGCGTTAGCTGGACACCCTGGGTGACGGTGACAACAGGGCGCTGGCAAGTCGAAGTGGGAGGTGGTGGGCAAGAGGCCTGAGATCAGGGCCTACTGCGTCCAACTGGTCAGGGGCCCAGGGGCCTGGAGGGATGCCTCCTCCCACCTCAGGAGCAAACAGCTGCAGCTGGCGGCTCCTCGGGGTCTCTCCGGGCAGCCAGCGGGGGTAAGGCCCTTCCTCCTGCTCCTGTACCAGGGCGCGCGCACACCCCTCCCCGGCCCTCCAAACCTGTCAGCACCCGCTGCACCCGCCTCACAGGCCAGCCGGGCCCGTCCCGGGGGCCGCGGCCATCCCCAGTGCAGGAGCGGCTGGGCGGAGGGCCCCAGGGGAGGCAGGGCCCGGGCCTTCCCCTTCTCCTCAGTGACAGCAGACCGGGCCACCCGCTACCCGAGATGACTCGTCTGTAAACTGTTCAGTACTCAACGTTTATTTATAAAGTTACTTCCTAAAAACGTTGCACATAAATAGTTCTAAACAAGATTTGTCATACTATGCTCTCGTCTGCTGTAGGGCCTCTCTCTGGGGCCAGGCGCGGACGCTGTGCAGGGTCGCCGGGAAGCTCTGCAGCTCCAGCCGCGTGGAACAGAGACGCCCTGCGTGCGGTCTCCCCTGCCCTTCCCGCGGCACCTGCTGTGCCCCGGGCTACTTGCCCCACGGGGCGGAGGGTCTTCGCCTGGACCCGCGAGCATGCGCGGTCGCCGCGGTGCTGAGGCTGGTGGCACCGGGTGAGGGAGCCCCTTGGAACCTTCAGTCGCCAGAGCTGACACGGGGGGTCACCCAGTTAGGTTTTCCTAACTGCCATGAAGGAGGCCTACAGGAGGAAAGACGGCGAGGTCTGGGTGGCGGCGGGGGCCCGCCCCCCTCACGCACCTGGCCACACTGCCGGGGTGTGACTGCAGCCTCAGCCTCCCGGCCCTCCTGGCAAGAGACAAGGGTGCCTGTGTCCCAGGGCACAGCCTGGCCTACAGCGCGGCCTCTGGGAGGAGCCTGCGGGAATGTGGCCCCCAGGCAGAGTACCCCACACCTACCTCCTGAAGGAGCTGCCCCAGCCTCTCCTGGCTGTGAATGGAGCGCCTGCAGGAGAGAAAACAGGGTAGCCCGGCTGGCCCCCAGCTCGAGGAACGGCCGCGTTCTCCTGCCTGGCCCCTGCAAGCTGACGTGCTCCCCTGCTGTTCCGCCGGGACAGGTCGGAGCTGGGGCGACGACAGGGCGGTGCACACCGTACACTGAGGACCCCCTAGCCCTGGAGCCCCACCTGTCTATCCTGGTGGCGATGGTCACCGTGAAGGCCCCCTCTGTGTCCGGCAGGTAGGTGGAGGGCACGATGCGGTAGGCCCCCGCCGACAGGTGGCAGAGCCGGCTCACTTCCTGGGCGTAGCGATGCGGCACGCAGCTCAGCACAGGCTCCTGGAGCAGCAGGCCGGGCGCAGCCTGGCTCCCCCCGGTCCCTGGAACCTGGGGGGACGCACGGGCTCAGACACGGGAGGCCTGTCCACTGGGCCGCCACGGCCACCAAGAGCGGCTCTCCTCCCTCAGTTCGGGACTGTCCTCCCTTTCGGAGGCTGGGATGTCTGGGGTCAGGAAGAGCCTGGGCCCATCCGCCTGGACCTCCCACGTCACACACCTGCCCTTTTCCAGGGAGGAAGACCTGCCAAGCCTGCCAAGCTGGGCTCACTGCTCACCGAGGCCCCACGGCCCTTGTTAGGCAGGCAGCCCTTGCCTGGGGGACCGCCACCATCACCACTGCCCAGGGCTCTGTCCCGAGTCACCTGATTGGCTCCTGGTGCTGGCATTTCTATCAGAGCTCCTGGTGCCCCAGCTGGCAGCCCGGGCAGAGCAAGACTCCAGAACGAGCCCTCCACTCTTGGGGAGCGCAGAGGCTCTGTCCTCCCAAGGGTACAGAAGCTTCTCAGAGACCTGCCTACCCTTCCCTCCCGTCATCTGCAGCCCAGGCTGAGCGCACCCACCCCACAACGGAGCCACCGTGCGGGCCCATGCCCTCCTTGGGCACCCACCAGTCCGTCAAGCCCATCTAGAAGTGGGGCCCCCAGCAGAAGCATATACGTGGGCTGGGAGCCACTTCATTACCATGGCATCTGGGCCTGCGACCTCTGACCTCTGGCAGTGTGCCTGTCCCGCTTCCCCCAACCACAGGTCTGCTAAGGTGTCCCACCTGCAGCACGGCACAACGAGAGCAGGCTGAGGTGGAGAAATGAGATTTGGGGTGGCGTTTATGACGTACAGGCCCCACCTGGGCCCCAACACCCACTCCTCTCCACCCAGGACAGCTTTCCGACCTGAGAATCAGCTGAGCGCTGCATTCAGTGGCATCTGTCCACCAGGGCCCCACACTGTCTTATGTGGTTCCCTCCCTCCCTTTCCCGCTCTCCCCGCCTCCTCCTGGCCCCCAGGGTACGCCCGCTCTCCAGAGGAGCGGCCCCAGGGCGTGGGGCATGGGGAAGGGCAGGGCTGCGTGGCTTTGGGGCAGCTCCTGGCGGGGCACGCCATCCGGTCTCCTGGGTGGGAGGCACAGTTCTGGGGAGCAGAACTGACCTCATGACACCATCGTTCTGAGCTGGGGGAGTGGCCAAGAGGCCGTGTGAGCTGACCCAGGACCCCACTGAATTACTGACTTCAGGACACCGAGACATGTACCTTGCATGGGACCAGCCAGCTGGCTGTGCCCACATGACCAAGTCCAGGCCTCGGTCATGCCCGGCCACCCGTGGGGACACAGAGTCCCTGAGGACCTCCCCCCGGCACCCCCAGCGCAGGAGGAGCTTGCCTGGAAGACGTGGAAGCCGATAGGGTGGCACTGGGTGTCCTGGCAGTGTTGACGCAGGGTGACACGGACGCAGCGGGGGCCTGGGCCCTCAGGGACCGACAGGGGGAAGCAGGGGTTGCTCGGGTAGGAGGCAAAGTTCCTACTGCCCCCTGCTGTCTGGCCGGTTCTCCAGGAGCCCCGCAGCTGCACGGTCTCCCACTCGCCCGCGGGCAGGGCCTCCCCAGGGGCAGGGCTCCCAGCCGCCGACTTGATGGCACTGCCCGGGAAAGACACACAGGAGGGCGGCTGGTAGCACGCTCCGGGCCTGCGCTGTGGGCCGCGAACACACGCAAATCTCCAGGACGCTGCCCGGGGCCGCGCTCCCCTTTCCTCAGCCGGGCCCTCGGGGGAGAACAGCCTAGAGCCCCTCCTTGCTCCTCTCACCTGAGGGAGACTCTCCCGCTAGAGAAGACCCGCAGCAGAAACTGCGCCGGCACGTCCTTCAGGAAGGTGCTGGGCACGGCCAGGTAGTACCCTGGTGTGAGTTCGCAGCGGAGGTGGACCTCCCGGTCATAGGCGTGGCACACGGTGCCGGCCACGGGGGGCGTGGACAGGACCCTGGGCAGGCTGACCCGCCGCTTCTCCACCTACACAGAGGAGGACCGTGTGCCACCGTCCGGAGACCGGCCCCACCGCCTTCACCCAGCAGAAGGGCCTCTCAAACGACTTAACGAAAGAGAGCAGCCAGACCTGTGGGTCCCTCCCCAGCGCGGCGGGGGCCAGCTCGAAGTGCCCCCAACCCAAGGCTCTCACTCGACCCCGGGGTCCGAGTCCTCCTGCTCTAGGGGAGAGCAGACGGGTCTAGACAGGGCCGTGCCCCCTCCCTCCTGCCCGTCGGCCAAGGGCTGCTTTTGCTTCATCTCCCTTTGTCCGACGACGCCGGCCGGGCAGAGCCGGGGCTGTGGGAGCTCCAGCGGGCGTGCGACCCCGGAGGGTGAGGCCGGTGAGGCTCCTGGCAGTCGCTCGTGTCCCAGCAACCCCAGACCCTGAGCAGGGAGCTGGGCCCAGGGCAGAGTTACCTTCCAGATATGCAGGCCCACAGCCTGGTAGTCCTCACCCAGGAAGCTGGCCGGGCTCCTCGAGGCAAGCCTGTCCCCCACCGGAGCCCGAGCCCGGCCTGCCTGGCCTGCGGCGCACACCCTGGGTCTCTGCAGGACAGCGGCAAACACCTCGCTCGGTTCTGAGACCCGCAGCCAGAACTTGGGGTTGCTGGGAAAGCCGCTGTTGTTCCGACAGCCTCCTGCCGACTGCCCCTTGACCCAGGCCCCAGGCAGCTCCTGAGTGTGGCACAGCGCCTTTCCTAGGGGAGAGCCAGCAACAGCAGCTTCAGGAAAGGGCTCCCACGCGGGCTGCCCCGCCACTCTCACCCACACCGGCTATGGCACCCTACAGGAGGGGGCCCCGTGGTCTCCCGCCACCTGAGGCCGCCTGGGACAGCAGGGGATGAAGTCATCTCTCCACACACAGAAGTAGAAGAGGGCCTGGGGCGAGGGTCATGCCCAGGAGCCCCTAAGGGGACGCGGTGGCCGCTCAGCCCTGACCTCAGAGGGCAGAGCCGTGTGGCTTGTCGCCCCCCAAGGGCCTACCCCAGGTGATGGCGGCCTCCCCTTGGGTGCAGGCCTCCCCCTTACCTGAGTAGAGGCTCTGCAGGTGGCCGGCCTCCGTGATCGGGAAGCCAACGGTGACCTCGTCAAACTCCTGGAGGAACTCTTCCTCCTCCACCCAGAACTCTCCTTCCTGCAGCTGGGACAGCAACTCAGACTCATCGGCTGGGTCCACCCGGCTCCACCCTTCGCCCCTGGAAGGCAGCTCACTTCAGTGGCGGCCCCTCACCCCAGAGCTGACAGCACTGACTGGGGAGCCCTGTGCCCTGCCAGCTTCTGGCCGGCCCTGCTCAGACTGGCTCTGCACCGGCCCTTCCTCGGGGCAATCCCCTCTCTCCTTCCCTGAGGCTCCTGCCTCCGGACATGTCTGCCGAGGGCTGTGCCCATGAGCGGGCCAAAGAAGGATGTGCCCGATCTCACACCGAGCTGCCGCTAGCCTCCTGCACTCAGGAGCAAAGGTCGGATCTGCTGACCAACTGCGGTCGGCCGAGGGGAGTGGACCCAGGGCCCTCATTCAATCCTGGTCCCTGGCGTCAGTAAAGGCCTTAAAGCTGAGCTGAGCACTGTGACTCGGGCATCCCACATGTCCCTGTCACCTGCAGCCTGATCGGGCATCCACCGTTCCATGGGCACCCTCAAGGAAGGAGCCCAGGGCCTAGGGCGGCCTCGGTCCCAGCACCAAGCACTAAACCAGCCTCCTGGGGCTGTCTGGGGCCAAACACAGGACCCGGGGGACCACAAGCAGGTGCCAAGGGGGCCTTGCGGGAGACCAACCGTGCACTGCGCTGACCAGCTACAAACGGGCACGCGCACGTCTGTGATGGCTCTCTGCTGCCATGCGGGGCCCCAGCCCTCTCCCCTCGATGACGGCAGCACAGCCCTGGCCCTCACCCATACTCACCCCTCTCTCCAGGGCCCCTGCCAGCAACGCCGGCCCCAGGGATTCTGAATGCACAGCAGCAGGATGCTCTGGCCAGCCCGCCCCTGGAGCTCTCGCAGATCTGACACAATGAAGGCATGGAACTCCCCCAGCTCCCTGGCACCTGGTGAGGAACAGCTTGGTTGCAGGCAGGAAGTCCCCAAACCATGCGGACGCACAGGTCTGTCTCCCTCCCCGTGGGATGCTCTAGCCCACCCGACTGTGGCCACAGCAACACCCAGATCCCCACAGACCACCGGGGCTCCTTTCCTGACCACTGTGGACAAGTGAGCTCAGAAGTGGCCTCAGCCAGTGCACAGCCACGGCAAAGGACCTGGGTGCGGACTGTGGCTCGGCTGCCAAGGGCCTGGCAGGTCCTTCCCTTCTCAGCACCTTGGTCCCTTGGTCCCTGCCTGGGTGGATGAGTGAAGACAGCCGGCTGGCCGATATGGCAGCGCAGGGTGCCTGGTGCTGGGCCGGTTCTCAAATGTGCGGCTATAAGCGTTGTCAGCAGCAGGTCTGGGACAGGCAGGAAGAGCAGTCTCCTCTAGGCAAGGCCAGCTGGTGCGGGGTGGGGGTGGGGCACGCACGGCCGGGGGCCGTGGGACCAAACACTGCTGGGGGGAAGACTGGAGGCCCCAGAGAGCAAACAACCCCACTTGCCAGAGCGCCCAGAGCCCTGGGTCAAACCATGCAGAAAGGGAGGAGCCAGATGGTGCCTGGAGCCCCATCTGCGGAAGCGGGGGGTGGGGGGTGGGGGCGGTCCAGAGAGAAGGAGAAACTTCTGGAATGCCTTTAAAAGCTTTATTTAGAATGGAGTTGTAGCCACCACTCTGGGTGTCTGCGCTGACACCTCTGTGGGATCCAGCTGCGCACCAGCAGCACCCCCTCCGCCTGGGGGTGTCGGCGAAGCCTGGAGCGCTAAGGATGAGCGCTCTCAGGTAGAGCTCGGACACCATGTCCCGCACAGTCTGCATGGCTGTCTGCGGGCTTCCCTCACCTCCCCAGCGTGGGGGCGGCCCCGACCCTCACCCAGGTCGGCAGCGCTCGCTGTCCACACGCACCCGTTTACCTCGGTGTCTGGGTTCTTGGGCCAAAAACCCCATTATGAAAATCATCCTAAATGTGAACGCTGTCAAACATGAAAATGTTCAGTAATGCCATCTGTAATGTGCGAAATTGCCCGGCATTCAGGGAAAGAGTAAGAAAACATGGCGGCTTCACTGACGGAATGAGACAGCAGTGGTCGGTGTGCTTGGTGCCCGAGAAAGTGCAATGTCATGTGCGGCACACACACCTGTTTGCGGAAAAGCCCCGAGGGCCACGGAAAAATAGTTCTGCGTGTGGGGTTTCTTCCTTTCAAGAAACTTCCTGTAACGAGCGCGGACATCACTCAAATGAAAACCTGAGTTTGATTTTGCCAGGCTGCCGGCCAGGCCGGAGATGCCGCCACCACCAGGTTCTCGAGTCTCCGGGTGGCGGCTGCCCTGGCAGAGGCTCCAGCCTCGCCCTACTCGTAAGTCGAGGAGAAAGAAGAAAAAAGTCAAGAGAAAAGGACCTTCCCTCCAGAGAAGGACAGGTGGCAGGGGAAGCTCACACACCAGACACCAGCTTTGAAAGACAGACGTATTGCTTTCCACTTAGTCCTCACGGGGCCCCGAGAACAAGCCCCTGTGTGGCTGTGGGGGCATCCGGGCGCGCAGGCCCGTTCCGCTGCCGTGTGCCTGCCGCCTTACCTGCTCTGGGGCTGAGCACCGAGCAGCTTATCAGACACCGGTCCTTGAGGCTGAGCAGCCGTCGGCAAGTCCTGTGCTCCGAGCCACCAGGCCTGTCCTGTTGGCTACTGGCTCTTGCCAAGTCCCGCAGGCTCCACCTTTCTGCCAGGCCCCCGGTGAGGTCCACCAGGGCATCCGCCACCTGCCCTGCCCACAGGTGCTCATAGGACCCATAGACCCTGGGGGGGCAACCACAGGGAGTGAGCCTCTGGCACTGGGGCATGGCGCCCTGCCTCTCTTCCATCCCCGCGTCTGCAACACCCCCAAATCACCTCACCCACCACTTCAATGGCTTCTCTTTACTCCTGCCTCGTCCTAAGTACAGACGTCATCTGACCCTCAAAGGCCAGAAAGCACAGCAGCCCAGCAACACCCTGCGGCCTCCAGTGTGGACACAAGCGTGCGGTGGCGAGGGGCGTGGGGCATGAGGCTGTGAACACCCACTCTTCTACTTCTCAAGCTCAAACCCCACCCTAGCCCTGGAACGGAGGCGCTCACAGCGACATCCCCGCAGGCACGGCTCACTCCCTTCGTACAAAGGCCTGCCTATCCATGCGGCCTCTCCCGGCAGCCTTATTGCTGCATTCTAAGACAGAAGTTTGCCCATCCAGACCCGGGGTGAGGGGCACAGCCTCAAGCAGCACTGAGACCTGGGTGGCTTCACCTCTCCCACGGCTTGCCGTGCTGAATGATGCCTTTGGGCCCGAGTTTGAAGCAAGGACGGGGAAAGAGGGAATGCGCTCTGGGAAGACGCACGCCACAGGCCACGTCTCAGAGTTTCTGTCTCTGGACAGGTCGGTCCCACCGCAGGCCTGGCTGCCAGGTCCCGGGGACTGAGGAGGGTGCTGCAGCCCAGGGAGAGTGGAGACGTGCTCCCCAGGGGCGGCCTCAGGCAGCTATGACTCCCCAGCCCACCCTGGCCCAGCCCCTCTAGCCTCTAGCACGCGTACTTGGCATAGACCTTCTCCAGTAAGGGAAGCCAGAACACATCCTCTCTCTGACACCGGGAGAAGCAGAGTCTCCCTGCAAGACAAGGCAGACGGTCATCTATGGTCACCTCCACCCAGCGTCCAAACTGCCAAACTCGACAGGTGAAGGAGCCGCGGTACGTGTGGTCATGCCAGCTCGGCTGTCCTGGAGGAAAGACCTACCACGCACAGGGAAAGGCAAAAGGAGAGCATGAGAGACAAGCTGCATGGTGCTTCCCACACGCCGTCACCAGAGCCGCTCCACGGTACCCTGCTGCCCTGCCAGGGGCCTGACTTTACTCCACAGCTGATGTCAGTGTTGGCACAAAACCCAACTGTCACACAGAAAACTAACAGCCTTTTTAGTAAGACGTTTTAGGACCACACTGAGGGAGCCAAGTGTCTCCAAAAGCTTAAAGCCAACCATGATGTCCTACTGTCCCAAGTAAGCACTCGACCCGAAACCAAAACAAACGTTGACTTTTACAGGCAATTCTTGACAGAGCTGGCTGCAGACGAGCCCCCAGCTGTGGGGGTGGGGGGGGTGCCTCAGGAGCTCCGCCAGCACCTGGACCCAGTGCATTTACTGCTGGCTTTGGAGTTAGGACCCAGAAAAAGACACATGTGGGCTTTGCACCTACACAGACTTGTCTGGTCCCGGCTCTGTCACTTACTAGCTACGAACATGGTAACAACGGTTTTAGTGTCCTCGTTTGCAAACGAGGGTCAAAGCCAGCAAGGTCTGTGAGAACGAAGGCCAGCAACTATGGTGTGCTTAGCGGGGCCTGCGGACATGGCAGTAGCTCGGAATGGGTCACACTGTCACTGCTGCTGCATTCATCAGTGACATCTAGCAGCGAGCCAAACGAAGCTGTGCACGCTGGACAAGCGCTCTGAGCAGGCGTTTTACACCTGTGCTATCTGCCTAGCATCAGAAACAGTTTTAATCACCCTTTGCCAATTTATATTCAAAACCTGTTTAAAAAAAAAACAACAACAACAAACCAACTAGCTAGGGAAACTTAATGCAAACCCACGGCATAGGACCCCTCCGCCGACCCTTCCTACTCTAGGCGGCTGTGCGCTCATCTTTGCATCCCAAACACACAGCTCTGTCTGCACAGAACCCAGGGCTTGGGAGGGCAGAGCAGGGCAGGAAGCCCCCGTGCTGGAGCCCTGGGGACAGGGGGACACAGTGCCCACGCCTCGGAGCTCCTATAGCCCGAGAGCAGAGCTCTCCCTTCCAGCCAGCTGTGCCAGGTGACCACAGCAGAGCCCACGGAGCAGGAGACTCAGCGGCCCTGCTTCCTGCTTCCTTCCTGTGCACAGCAGACAGGAAGTCAGCGGGAGAGCTGCCTGCCCCGCCACGGGTACCTGGTCCAGGAGGTGCCGGCTCTTCTGCAGGGCGGCGCAGGCACACAGGAACCAGCAGTCTCCCAGCAGTCCTTGCTTCACCTGCCCCTCCTGTGGGTTATCTGCGAACAGCCGGGGCGTGGCACAGATTTCCTGAAATAAAGAGTATCGTCCAGTTACATCCTGCTTGAAGCCTAGTCTCTAAAACTATGAAGACAGGATCTAGGTGACAGGTACCGGGGAGGAGCTCTTCTGGTCACCCACATTGCCTAAGAGGGGAGGGGAAGCAGCTGGCCTTTTGCAGCCCCGATCTGTCAGTCCCTCCTGGCTTTAGATCACTCCGTCCAGCTTAGGTCCTAGGGTCCCTCTCTCTGTCCACCTTCCTAAAGTGGCAAAACCCCAACTCTAGATGAATCTCACCATCCCCCTTCTCGAAACAGCCAACTTGCCCTAGAAAATGATATCACTTTAAACTCCTAACAGCAAATCTCAGACAGATCCTCCATACTGCTGGAATCCGGCTGAAGTTCCCAAAACCCAGACTACTTTATACCTTACCTTCCCCTTTCCCCCCCTCTTCACACTTCCACGCTCCTGCCCTTGCCCATGCCCCCTGAGCTGATGACCCTGCCAGAAGCTTCCTCAGAAGCAACCTCCACCTGACCCCCTCTCCTGCCTTTAGAGCCAGGGTTCTTCCCATGACCCCCGCCTCCTCCGCCCCTGCAGGGAGAATTCCAGCAGCATAGGGCAGAGAGAACCCCCATCTTCTCTAAGATACTGTCCCCCCTGCATTATCTCCCCTTGAGTCTTCCCTTCTCTGGCAGACTTCTTGAAAATGCTGCCTTCCTTCCTTCCTTCCTCCTGCTCACGCAGCACAGGCCCCTTTAGCCTCTGGGCCAGTCACCTCCATGTTGCCAAATCCAACGGCCTCTCTCTGTTCTCGTCTTCCCTGACGCTTGGCAGCATCAGAACAGTGGCTGTCCCCTGCACTCCCCCACAGTCCCCTCTTGGCTCCCATGGTTCCACATGTTCCTGGCCGTCCTTTCACCTTGCCACCTGCTGCTTCTCCAGGCCACCTGCCAGGGAACCTGCTTGAACCCGCTGGGAAATGTCAGGGTCCCTCAAGGGTCAGTTCCAAGCCTTCTCTTCTTCTTCAGACCCACTTTCTCCTGAGATACTGTTCGGCGCCCTCGGCCCTGTCGTGGTCCCCGTTCCCTGATGTCGGGGTCCTGTAGCCCAGAACTTCCTGAGCACCTGACTCTCATGCCCACCTGCCCGTGGACAGCTCTGCTCACACCTGTGAGAGCAAAACGCCACACAAGAGTTCCATCCCTAGCTGTCCCCCACCTCCCAGTGTCCCCCAGCACATCAAACAGGACCACCATCTACCCCGGTGCTCAGGCTAAAAATCTCAAAGTTGTTCTTGATCCTTACTTTACCCTCACCCTCTACTTCCAATCGGTTACTAAAACTTATTCATCCCCCTCCAAATTAATTCTCTAATCCATCCACTCCAAAGGCCCATCCTAAAGGTTGCCATACTACCCTGACCCTCTTTACCTTTCTCTAGGACCACTGCATTCCTGCTCTGTCAATCCACTTCCCAGCCAGCAGAAAAAGTGAGCTTCTTAAAACACAAACCCACTCGAATTGCTCCTCTACTAAAACCCTCTATAATGGCCTCCCACTGTGCCTAAAATGCATTTTTAACTCCAATTCCACTGGCATGACCTAGAAGACTTCATGCTTTGGCCCTTGCCTCCTTCCACGCCAAACTGGCACTTTCCGTGCTGCCCAAACACCTCTGTGGCCAGAGCCAGGGTGCTCCGAGGACTGGTGACCATGCAGAGGTCTCCATTGAGACTGTGTACTTGCAGGCAAGGGAGGGCCGTTCCTGAGAAGTCTTACTCAGCAGAGAAGCCATTTCTAAAGATACCAACATAGCACTAGGCCAGAGCGTCCCTTTAAATTGCCGCCTTCAAGCGTTCGCATGTGAAAATGCAGGCGCACGCAGTCCAAACAGCTTTGCCCTTCCAGAAGCTCACGAGCACGGCCGATCCCGGCAAACACAAGAAACAGAGCAGGACCGCCTGTGGCCAGGAGGGCCACGCAGTCCAGAAGCTCGGTCCGGAGAGACGCCCGTCGGGGCAGAAGAGGGGCAGGGCCGGCGTCTGCTGGACCGGACGTCTCGCCCTGCCCCGAACCGCCTTCGGAACCGCGCTCTCGAGGGCGCGGGCCAGGAGCTCCGCGGTGGCTCCCTCCCGAGGGACCCCCCGCTCCCGAGGGCTGCAGCGGCACCCCGCCGGAGGCAGCGCGCGGGGCGCCTAGCCGAGGTTCGGGGCCCGACCCGAGGTTCGAGACCCGCGCCAACAGCCCCACCTGGGGCCGCCTCCATGTGATGTCTTCGCGGAACTGCGCCAGTGGCGTGGAGAAGCTGGAGAACAGCGAGGAGTCCGAGGCGGGGAAGTCGGCGTCCCGGAAGAGCTCCCTGACCGGCGCCCGCATCCTGGGCGCCCCGGGCTCCCATGGGCTGCCCGCGTCCCCGGCGCCGAGCGCGGCCCCGGAAGGCAGGCGAGTTCACCGCAGGTCCCGCGCGCGCCCGCTCGGTCGCCGCGGTAACCGCCGGGCCACGTGACGCAGCGGCCCAATCGCACTCGAGCTGAGGCCGTCCGCGTCGCCCTCAGGGGGCGTGGCTCCCGAGCTCCGCTCTCGCGAGGCCGCGCCGTCGCCCCGGCTTCTCTTCTCTTTCCGGGGCGGGGTCTGGGGAACTGACTCTTCAGCGACTGATCCCCGGCGCTCCGACGGGCATCGTGTCCTCGTGCCGGTGCAGCGTGGGCCGGGGCGTCGGGACCGCTTGGACTCGCGGGCTCTTGGGGCTGCAGGGACCTGAGAGGCCTCGTCGGCCGAGGTCGGGCCGCGGACTACAGGTCCCAGCATGCAGCGCCGCCTCCCAGAAAGCCCCGCTCCTCCCGGCGGCGGCGGCGGCGGCGGCGGCGGGCGGCGGCGGCGGGCCGCGGCGGTGGCCTAGGGCTGGGCTCCCGGCAGGAGCCGGCCGCGGGGAGGGCCTGCCGGGCCTGGGACGTCGTCTCGAGACCACTTGGGGTCAGACGCGCTGGGTCCTTAGCGGGGCAGGGGACGAGGCTGCAGCAGATGGCCGGGCATATGGTCCTGGTGGGCTGGACAGTGAGTGACCTGCTGGAAGTGCGCTCATAGCTGCGGGCAGGCGATGGCAGGGATTTCGGGACCTGCCTAAGTATTCACCCTTGCTGCAGGAGCCGGTACTTCTCCCTTCCTGGGGAGCACGGAAGACAGTCAGCCGGAGGCTTGTTGTCTGCCTGCCGCCCCCCGAAGCCCGCTTCAGTGGGACCGGAGCCTTCACGGAGGGTCGGGCAGGAGGGGAGAAGCGGCCTCAGCCCTTCTCGTGGCAGCTCTCCGCCACTGCTAGGATTACTCAGATCTTGCGTTCCTGGCTGTTTTTACGCAGCCCCCGGATGGGAAGGGTAGTCCGATCCAAGCCCCTCTGCGATGGCTCCGACAAGTCCCTCCTGCCAGGGGAGAGAACCGGTCCTGGAGTCCCTGCCCCAGGTGCCTGTGACGGCTGCAGCTCCTCCCTCTGAGGGTGTCCCACTGTGTGAGCCCCACCCACCAGGCTGTTTGGGGGCCCAGGACACTGTTGAGGTTCTAGACAACAACTAGGTATCTCAGCAGCGGTCTCTGGGGTGCTAGGACGTCGTGGCATTCCTGTGTCGGTAGCTCTCCCGGAAGATGCTGATGACTCCTTGGGAAGCTGGCGGCTGCACTGTAGCTGAAGGGAATCCGGAAAGGCCTGGGCTCTGCTTCACGTCGGGCTCCTGAGGGAGTAAGTGACAAGCTTCCTACCTGGCCTGGGCTGCTGGACTGTTCTCCCCAGGTAGCACACTGGGGTGCTTAGCAGCAGCACTGAGGCCAGCCGAGGATCTGTGCCACTCACCCAGGCTTCCAGAGTCTGGAGAGCAGGCAGCTTCCTGCGGACATGTACGACACACATCTGACCATTTCCTTTCCCGAGCCTGTGGGTGTTAACGGGGTCTATGGATTCCGAACCCTGCCTGCTCCCCTCAAGCCCCCCAGGTTATCACTACTCGAGGTTTTGTGCTCCGTGACTTTGCTCACACTTGTGCCCGGGTGACTCCCTGTTGTTTTTCAAGGGATGTTCTCTGACTTCACAGCTGGGGCTGGGGGTTGTCTCTTCTGAACCCCCACATCTCTTCCCTGTTCAGTAGGCAGTAACCCTGCATTCTCATGGGGACACAGAGATTAGAAACTAGTGTCCTGCCCAGACATCACCCAGAGTAGGAGAGGGCAGAGTGGAGGTGCCCCAGGTGAAGGGACAGGCAGCAACAGCTGGGCCGTGGCTGCAGCCCTGGGTTGGCAGACTGCCTCGTGCCATTTGGATCCGGCACGTAGCTGTCCCTGCCTCACCAGCAAGAACCTGATTTAGTTGGTGCCACTGAAGTCAGCTGGGGAGTCTGGACCTCTCCCTAGCTCAGGGTCAGAAGTTTTAGAGAGGAGCATGTGCCCCAGCTCAGGGCAACAGGAAACAGTCCTCCGGGGGGCTGTGGGGGCGTTTCCCACAATCTACCCAGGGCACGTGATGGTGCCTTGGCTGCTGGTGTGTGGAGGTGTGGTAATGGAAACTGCTGAGTCAGCTTGTGACTGCAGGGGGATGAGCCAGAAGACAAAGGCCCGCACACGGAGACTCCAGAGCAGAAAGATGAAGAGCCCGATGGCGTCGCCGAGCCCCTGAGCTTGTGGGTCCTAGGATCGTCCACCTTGGGATTTCTGGTCATAGATTGTAAATACAGTTTTACAGTTGGAGTAAATTTTGAGTTGAATCTTTTGTTTAAGCACCACAGACATTGTGCAGAGATCTGTATTCATTGTCTACCGCTGTGTATCAAGTTACCCCAAAATTTAGAGGCTTAGAAGGATATTTATTGTGTCATAGTTTCTGCGGGTTAGGAATGTGGCAGCAGGTGGGTGGTTCTGGCTGAGGGTCTCAGGGGATGGCAGTCACAGTGTCGGCCAGAACTGAATCAGCTGCCGATTGACTGGCTGGAGCGGGAGACTGCAGCTCCTTGTCATGTGGACCTTCGTGAAGCTGCTTGAGTGTTCTCACCCCGTGGTGGCTGGTTTCTCCTGGAGCAAGCCATCAGAGGGGAAGGGACGGCAGAAGCTGCAGGGTGTTTTTTATTTTCTAAAGATTTTATTTATTTGCTTGAGAGAGAGCACACGAGCGAGAGAGCACAAGCAGGGGGAGCGGCAGCCGGAGAGGGAGAAGCAGACTCCCTGCCGAGCAGGGAGCCCAATGCGGGGCTCGATTCCAGGACCCTGGGATCATGACCTGAGCTGAAGGCAGACGCTTAACCGACTGAGCCACCCAGGCTTCCCTGCAGGATGTTTTATGACCCGCCTCGGGTGTCCTCCCATCGTTTCTGCCACGTTCCCTTCACTGGGAGCAAGTCCCCCCAGTGCAGCCCACACTCAGGGAGAGAGCATCGGAGAAGCTGTGCACACGTGTTAAGGCCCCCATAGGTCCTGAGGGATGGGCTGGGAGGGTGACCTGTGCAGGGACCAGATGAGTGGTGTGGGAGCCTGGGGAGGGTGGTGAGGGGGGCAGCCCAGGGCTCTCACTTGAAGGGATCACGCACTGTGCGGTGGGTTCGGAAGGTCTTTGAGGCCAGGGCGGGAGAGTGAGCCCAGGGGCCTAGGTTTTGAACCAGCGAAGGAGAACGAGATTTAGTTTCTTTGAAGGTGCTTGGTGACTAGTCACGTGAATCAGAAAGAGGGAGGGTGCTGCAGGATGGGGGTGCCAAGTGAGGCAGCCCGGGGGCCCTGCGGAATTGGAAGAAGGACTGGCTTTGTGCCCCGTCAGTTTAGGAAGCTCATGGGACTCCTCACAAAAGAACAGCCTTTGTTCAGGGACATGCCTTGACTCGGACTAGGGGCAGGCGTTCTCTCCGTCACGTGGCCGGGTCTGAATCACAGAGCAGTCTCTGGCCCACAAAACCATGCAGGCCCTGGGTCTCACCCCCAGAGGCCAGAGAGGGGCCCAATGTTCTGGTCCTGTGGGCAACAGGGTACCTGTTCCTCTGGGCAAGGCCTTCTCTCTGGGAGTCTCCAAATGAGGGAAGGGTACAGGTGCAAAGCCCCCCAGCTTAGCCAGGCCCGCAGCCTGCAGGTGCAGCCTCCACCGTGCCCATCCCAGAGCTAAATCTGCCGTCAGAACACAGGGATGGCAGGAACCCGGGTGGCCACCCCAGCAGGTCCAGGAGGTGTCTGGAGCCGCAGCCCAGGGGCCCAGAGCCTGGACCACTCTAAAGCCACCTGCGCAAGGATTCTCCTGGCTGCTTTTGGCGTCTGTGTCAACCACAAACCCCGTGGTATAGAGGACCCAGGGTGATCGTGACGATTAAGTGAGAAAGAATGCAAAGTGTATGGCTGGCCTTGGCCGGGGGGGTGGGGGGGAGGGCAGGGGCGGGGAATGGTCAGTGAGGGCCACCGTCCTGGGCCGTGGGGGGTGGTCAGTGAGAACACGGACTGCTTCTCTGGAATCATTTGGGATGGAGTGGGAGTTGGGTCCTAGAAGCTTGGCTCTCCCGTTCCCCGGCTGGACGTTTCGAGCTGAAGGAATTCCCAGGCAGGGCTGGAATAGGGCCATTTCTGCCGTGTTTGCATCCACCCGTAAGGGCTCGAAGGGTCGAACTCATTTGAACACCCATCCCAAAGGCAGGTTTCCCTGTCCCATATTAGGACAAGGAGCCTGAGCTTCAAAGGGAGGAGGTGGTGGGCCAGGTGAGCACCGCTGTGGGGAGGACACCGCCAGTGCCCAAGCCAGGTGGACCTGAGCAAAGTTCACTTTGCTCACTGTGACAGAGGAATGGCTTCTTTTCGGTGGTGGTGTAGGTTAATATTTTTTAAAAATAAAAATAATACGAGCTCCTAATAGGAATTTTCCCCCTAACTCTTTCTCTGGAGGGGTTCTAAGGGTCATGCGTTTCGTGTTGTCATGAGCACAGCGTAGATCATCTCTCTTGACTCCAGTGCCCTGATCTGGGGCCCCTGCTCTCCCAGGCTCTGGGCGGGTGGCGGTGTACCAAGAAAGTGGGGGGGAGGGGCGGGGCACGGCTGACAGCTGACATTAGATTTCTCTCGGCAGAAGGACAGTCTGTGCTGGGTGTGGGAGGTACGTGGGAGCCGGAGAGTGGTGGGGAGCAGAGGGGAGGCTGGGGTCCGGGGACGCAGCTGTGGAAGGAAGGGCGAGCCGAGGGCAGAGTGAGGGCACCTCGATTCATGTGAATGGTGTGTGG